CATTAGGGACATGTCTTTTTGTTTTCAATTAGCAATAATCGCACCTCAGATACACCTCATTGGCTACGATACTGCCACTGCGCAAAGCTAGGGACATGTCTTTTTGTCTCCTCATTTTGGCAGCCTCCTTGTGTTGGTATCCACGTGTTAGGTGGAGCTTTTACATCTATCAGGCTTGGTAGAGTGGCCTTTTGTATTAGGTGTCTTGTAGGGCCCAGTGGCACAGTTTCAGTCACCCAAACTGGGAGCTCCAGGTGCCACCCTTCCCCCTCCACACACACGCAACTGAGGGCTGTGTATTCTGGTGTAATTGAACCTTGATTGTTATTGGCATATCAGCGAGAGGGATTTACCCTTAGGCCAATAGGCTGCAAGATGGACTCTTACCACCCAGGAGGTTCAGTTGTGTAGGGGCCAACCACATAGAGCAGGCCTTCCTTCAGCAGGGCCCTTGAGTGCATCATTTTGTAGAGGTGGTTGAGTGGTGCTTTGATGTGGTCTGAAGCTGTCCACTGAGTGCACTGGCCTCTAGTTTAAAAATAAACAGCATCACGCACCTGGTGCCGACAAAGGGACATTGGCTTCCTCCAAGTGGGACACAGGCCCTGCCACCACCCCCAAGTGACACCCCACCAAATCTCAGCCAATGCTGCCAAGACCCCATGACGCAAAATATGACCCACAGCCCATCCCGAAAACGATTGCTGTGGGTGCCGGGTAATGACATCACATAGCAATGCCCAGCATCCTCTTCCTGGCGACTACCCTTCTTGGAGTTTCTTCAGCCCAGGAACACCGCTGGCTTTATATTCAGGTGCAAACATTTTACACTTTAACCAAATGTCTGTGAAGTGTTTTCCCATGCCTCATCTCATTTGATCCTGATAGAAGTCCTGGAGTACTGGAGTAGGTGTGAAATCCTATTTTTTTTTTCATTAGCCAGAAACAAATTTAGAAAGCTTAGAAACTTGACCCAACTGAAAAGAAGTAAATAATGGTGGACTTGAAAATTACTTCAGGTTTTCTCAATGTGCAGAATATAGTCAAACACTGCTACAGTTAAATATTTTACCCTTTGTTCTCCCTGCATGATCTATAATAATAATCTGCTTTGTGCTGACATTTACTGCTGTGTTTCTGACAGTTACCTAAAAGAGAAGTTGGGGTGCTTCACTGGGCTGGAAGAAGTTTAGCTCAATTAGAAAGCAGGTCTAATTAAGCAAGATTATTCTGTATCTATAAAATGCTAAGTTGACTCTCACATACACAATACATATAAAGTTCTTGCTGGTGCCAGTCACATGCATGTGTTTCGATCTGTCATTGTCGATCGTGAATTTGGTTATCACTTCTATTATAGAGAAAGGACAAATAGCAATATTAGAATATTTCTTCTAATTAATTTCCTTTCATTGTGCACAGATCCATGCACCTGGACACTAGTATTGTAATAAGTATGTATGGTGCCAGGTGGGCACTGAAAATATTGGGGGAGCATTTTGTGAAGTATATAACTGTCTAACCACTATGCTGAACAGCTGAAACTAATACAAAATAATATTGAATGTAATTAAAAATAAAAATTTTAATTGTTTTGTTAATGCTCCGAGGATTTTCCCATTATTATTATTTATTTATTTTTAGAGAGAGTGGAAGAGGGAAGGGAATTCAGAGAGAAAAATTGATCTGAGAGAAACACATTAACTGTTACTTCCTGCACAAGCCCCAGCCATGGCCCAGGCCAGGGAGGAACCTGCAACCAAAGTATCGATATATGTATGCCCTTGACCAGAATTGAACCTGGGACCTTTTGGTCTGCAGGCTAACGCTCTATCCACTGAGCCAAACTGACTAGGGCTAAAAATAAAATTTTAAAATATATATCACCAGGAAAGAAATTAAAAATCAATGTTCATTTTCTTTGAGCTAGAATTATATCAAACTTAATATAGTAATTTTAGCTACTTCTTTCCAGAAATCTTGAATATTTTGTTTGGTAGTTAAATATTTCCCCTAAAGTATGGGAATTCACTAGAAGTGGTGTTTATTGGGACAAAATGAATTAACAGGGAACTTTGTTGAAAAGGTTAGAAATGAGTGTGTGTGTGTGTGTGGGGGGGGGAGGGCAGGCAGAGATGTGGGCCATACCTAAGCATGTGGACTTTATTTAATGGGCACATGGAGCGTCAGAAGTTTACATGGTTTCTTTTGTGGAAACAAAACTATTGGAAGAGCAGAAGGGAAAGAGAATATGTCAGAAAGGCCTTTATAGTGTTCTAATAATTAATGAGACTGTTCCAGGGGAAGGGCAGTGGTAATGAACTAGAAGGGAAAAATTTAGAAGAGGCTAAAGTTATAGAATAAAGAGTACATGATTGTTGTTTAAATGTAGAGGGTGAGGGAGCAGGTAGAGTTGACAAGAGACAGGGTGGATAGAGAAATGTGTGGAATGTGTGGGAAAAAGTTAAGTTTTCTGCATGCTTTGTGGCAAAGAACAAGTATGTCCTGCTGAAAATGCCATAGCAGAGTTGGGAGAGGGAGGAGCTGTCATGTAATAGGTGAAGCTGTGGGCATTGGAGAAAGCTAGAACTCCATGCCTGCTTGTTCATGATTGAGAGCAGGAATGCAAATGAGGTGGATGCAGGGCTGGTGCTGTGGAAGCCAGGGAAAGAGGAATGCCCAGAATAAGAGCCACACATTGTCACCTGCTGCCACAGGGAGACACCTGACTAGGAGAATGGATCTGGCCATTGGAAGATGAGGTTGCTGATGACCTTTCTGGAGAGGAGCTACTAGTGCTTGTTTTCAGTCATCCAAACATTGCCTTAGGAAACTAAAGCAAGGTTAGGTAAGAGATAGAGTTTACTGACAGAATTGATCAATGGGCCTTCTTTCAGGTAATAATAATAATAATAATAATAATAATAATAATAATGTCACTATAAGGAAATAGTCCTTTTAGTTAAATCATGTTTGCCAAAACCAGCCTTAATATGAGACTCACCTGGGGTACTTGTTAAGACCCTGTGGGTCTGGAACCTGTGAACCTTTACTGGTTTGTACAGGCATTCCACCTGACTTTTATGATCAGGGGTATTTGCGTTCCTCTGAGCTAGGTGAGCTAGCCATACAGGCAGCCCTGGGAGATTTTACGGATTTGGTTCCAGACCACTACAATAAAGTGAGGAACATTTCTAAGCAAGTCATAATCAGGAGAATGCGGTGTTCTGGAAACCAAGTTAAGAGTATGTTTTGTGGTGGGCAGGAGAAGTAGCTGATCAGAGGTCAAGTGAACTGAGACCTGACCACAGGGTTTTCAATATGAAGGGGACAGGTGATTCCAGCAAAAACCTTTTCATTGGAGTGGTAGAGACAAAAAGTTGATTAGAAATAGTTAGATTTGGAGATATAGAGTATATATCAGCTCTTTCAAGAAATTTGCTCCAAAAGGGGCAAGGAATGAATTGGAAGCTAGAGGTTATTTCTGTGCAATCTGGGTTGGTTTATGTTGGGAGAAATCATAGCATATTGGAATACTAAGAGGAATGGTCTGGTAGAGGAGAATAATTGGTCTGGGGCAAGAGGAGAGATTTGCAGGTGTGATTCCTCGTGTATGCCTATGTGGAAATGGTGGTGGGGGTGGGATGTGGACTTTCCCCACAGTAACAGGAGGAGAAGAATACATGGGTCCAGGTGCAGATAAATGAATAGATGTGATGGTGGGAAACAGTCTTGTTGGATTATTTCTGATTTTCTCCGAGAAATAGGTAGCATAATCCCTGAGGTGCATGAGCTTGGAAGAGCTGGTGTCAGAAATTTGAGGAAAAATGAGAAATTTGATAGTCAACCTAGGACATTGGGCAAGTGGATAAACTAGGGAAGTGTCATATGATTGTTGAGCATATGATTGTTGATAGTCCCTTTGAGGTTTGGTGGTAATAATTAAAGTGAGATCAGTTAGCTTGGTTACAGTTTTCTTTAGCCATATCCAACTGCACAGATGCAAGAATGAAAAAAAAAAAAAAAGTCAAAGTTAAATTTAATTATGTTTGGAGTTCTGCCAGTCAGGTGTGACATGCAAAAGAGGAATAGGAGTTGAAGGTGTAAGAAAGGAAGTGCTCAAAATGAAGGACTGGATGAGAAAGAAGTGAAAGAATAATGATATCAAAGATAGGTAATAGCTTGTAGGTTTGGTGTGGTCAGTGGTTTGTAGGAGTCAGGAAAATAGAGGAGGTGAGCTGGAAAGGGGTTGTGGGCTCGGGGTAGGATGCTTGAAATTTCAGTGGGACAGGAAGTTGTGCTTGATAATAACAAGGACGAGGGTCCGAACTTGTGAGTGACTGAGGCAAGGAAGACAGATCATGGTAACTGAAAGAATTTGTTAATGGTGACAGTAAACCAGGACCTAAAATGCACATGGAATGGGGCTAGTGACCTGAGGGTCAGTAAACAATTGCTAGAGGGATAATAGTTGGAACAGTCTGATCCTGAGGATTTTTAGAGAGGAGAGAAAGAAAGTAGTCTGGGGACAGTGACAAGATACAAGGAAGGCACCTACCTTATCACTAGACCCTGCATTCAAGGGTATGGAGAAAACAGTTATTGCTTCCAAAGCAGTGTTCTCAGGGAAAGTCAGATTTCATTAGAGCAAGAAGGAAAGTGAGCATTCAGGGAAGACTTCAGGATTGGGGAAGGTAGAAGAGAACAGAGCAGAGAATGTTGAGTTTCACATTGGGATTAGAGTGTGGGAATGAGGGGTGCCCTAGTAGTAGACAGAGACTTTTCATAAGTGATGTAAACAGATAAAGGTCACAGTGCAATTGTCCTGGAGGCTAAAGGCAGATAGTAGTGGCAGGACAGTAAGAGATGTGAGGAGGTGGGCCTTGCTTCTCTCCTGCAAGTAGAAGCCTGGGAGGGGCTGGTTTTCTTTTAAGTGTGTGGAGTAGGGCCTCAATATCTTAGATATCTTTTAAACTTTTTTTCTGTTTTTAAACTTACAGATCATTAGTGATTATCAGCACTTTAGATGGGCGAATTGCTGCCTTGGATCCAGAGAACCATGGTAAAAAGCAATGGGATTTGGATGTGGGATCCGGCTCCTTGGTTTCATCCAGCTTTAGCAAACCAGAGGTAAGAATTTTCATTTAACAGAAAAACTCAGCTGTAATGAGCAATTGCTGATATTAGTACTATTTTTTTGCTTTTAGAGTTGGGGCTCAGGGCCCCATTGCCTACCTGTGAGGCCTGTGTGCCTCTTACTATGTTACTATGTCCCCTTGGGGCAATTACTTTTTTTGTTCCTCAGTTCCCCTGTTGTAATGAGGTAGATAATATTAATCACTTACTTTTTAGGGTTGTTTTGGACATGAATTAATCATATAAATGAATAACTAAGGATACTATCTGCTATATCAGTATAGCTCCTTATTTAAGCTGTAACATGATCATTTGTTATTGTCATATGGTCCCTAAATAATAAAATAAATGTAAGTAACTTAACTGTGCTTTAATAGTTAGAAATATGAGGGTGGAGCAAAAGCAGGTTTACAGTTGTGAGTATGTAAAAGTTTCTTCTTCTTTTCTTTTTTTAAACATCAGTGTATATTGATTGGTTGCCTCTCTCATGCACCCTCATCAGGGGGATTGAACCTGCAGTCCAGGGAGGTGCCTTACACTGGGAATCGAACCCAAGACCCTTCAGTGCATGGGTCGATGCTCTAACCACTTAGACACGTTGGCCAGGGCAAGAGTTAATTCTTGTACTATTATTTATTAATTATTGCATTATTTTCTATCCAAACAACTGTAAACCTTCTTTTGCCCCACCCTATACATACTGCAAAACTTCATAAATGATTCTTTCTGTACATTTCCCCTCCAGTGTGCATCCTTATTGTAAGCATAATTCATCTGAAATTTTTTTAGAATGTAATTTTAGACAAATTTGGTTATTTGCAACAAGAGACCTGCTTTCAAAACTACTCTGCCATGTGACTCTATCCACTGAGCCAAACTGGTTTCGGCTGCACATTTTGTTTTATCTTTAAACTAGACCTAAAAGAGGATCAGCAAAATCAGAAGATTATAAGCTGTTTATATCTGAGGTAATATTACAATGTGCTGCAGGGTTGCAAAGCATGTATGTGTTTGCAAAGTAAAACATATACATTCATGAAATATAAATTGCTTGGTATGTACAGAGTAGGGTGCAAATAGTGGTAATAACCTGAATGCTATAGTACAGTGGTTGGCAAACTCATTAGTCAACAGAGCCAACTATGTAACATATCAGCATAGTTTTTCTTTAGGTCTTTGGGTAGCATTTGGACTACACTTTGCCAAATCTAATTAGGTACAATATCCTTGAACTGTTTACTTGTCTATGTCTTGGAACACATTCATAAATACAAAAATCTTATATTTACTTAGAATGCACATTATAATTGTGTGCATATAACAAGTTTGTCCTTAGATGTATAGCTTTATATTTTCCTTTATTTAGAGATATATTTGTTTTTTGTTTCAGTTTTCTGTTAAATTGCCTTTTTTTTTTTTTTTCCTTCCCCTTTCTTAAAAAGAACAAACATGTGTATAGTTAGAGTTTGGGGTTTTGTTTTATTTTAGACTTGTTCTTCCCCAAGGGACACTGCGTTTCTGTTTCAGACAGTTTCAAAACAGACAGCCATGAAGCTGGAGCTCTCCTGCCTGCCCACTGACTCAGACTACATTTATTAAGAAGGGTCTTGCCAAAACTGGTTTGGCTCAGTGGATACAGTGTCGGCCTGTGGACTGAAAGGTCCTGGGTTCTATTCCCGTCAAAGGCATGTACCTTGGTTGCAGGCACATCCCCAGTAGGGGGTGTGCAAGAGGCAGCTGATCGATGATTCTCTCTCATCGATGTTTTTAATTCTCTATCCCTCTCTCTTCCTCTCTGCTAAAAATCAATAAAATATATTTTAAAAAAAAGAAAAAGAAGGGTCTTCCCAGGTGGGGGAGCCTTTGGAGAGAATACACTTTTTATGGTTACTGATTCATGGTTCACAAAAGAGTCCATTAGTAAATCCTTTTGAGTATTACTTTATTAAAAGAAGTTTTTAAAGATTCTCAAGCTTATGCTATGGCCAGTGTGACTGAGTTGATTGGACATCTCCTTATGCACCAAAAGATTACTGGTTAGCACACATGCCTGGTTGTGGGCTCAATCTCCAGGAGGGGGCGTGCAGGAGACAGTTAGCACACATGCCTGGTTGTGGGCTCAATCTCCAGGAGGGGGCGTGCAGGAGACAGCTGATCCATCTTTCACTCTCATATCAGTGTTTATCCTTGTCCCTCTCCCTTTCTCTCTCTGTAAAAATAAATTAAAAAATCTTTAAAAAGAATGATTCTTAAACTTATATTGAAAAATGCCAGGTCATTTTACAGTTTTTATTTGTACATTAACTAGCATATATTCAGCCTGGCTGTGTCATTGATGTGGTAGTTTATTGTGAAAACTCACTGTCAACCATGTAGCAAACCCATCTACACACACACACACACACACACACACACACACACACACACATGCACAGAGGTAATACGCAGATTGGGCTGGGACACCGTATCAGTCATGACCAGCTCAGGAGGAGGGGTCTGGCACAGGCCCAGAGCTTGAGAGAGCAACAGACAGGGCAGTCTATGCCCAGCCCCGGAAGTGGAGAGAACAACCCGCAGGGGGGCCAAGTTCGATTCTGAACAAGGGCATGTACCTTGGTTGCAGGCTCCTCCCTGGCCGGGGCCCAGGTCAGGACTCATACAGGAGGCAACCAATCATAGTGTGCCTCTCACATTGATGTTTATCTCTGTTCCATGCTCTTTAAAAATCAATGGGAAAATATCTTCATGCAAGGATTAAAGAAAAAAAAGAAAGAAATGTCATATCCTATGAAAGACTCTTGAAAATGCCTAAAGAAAGTTTTCATTTTTTTTTGTGGTGAAGGGACTGGAGTCCATGTTGATGAAAACACGTTGGTGGCTGCAGTGGCCGGCAGTGGAAGCAGCAGTGGTATAATGGGGGCTGTGCCTTCTGCTGATCAGCCCTGTTGTCTCCCATCAGTAGGACATCCCCTGAGGGCTCCCGGACTGTGAGAGTGGGCAGACTGGGCTGAGGGACACCCCTCCCCCCCATCCAGTGCACGAATTTCGTGCACTTGGCCTTTAGTATTTAAATAATTGCTTCAGGCTGAAACCGGTTTGGCTCAGTGGTAGAGCGTCGGTCTGCGGACTGAAAGGTCCCGGGTTCGATTCCGGTCAAAGGCATGTACCTTGGTTGTGGGCACATCCCTGGTAGGGGGTGTGCAAGAGGCAGCTGGTCGATGTTTCTCTCTCATCAACGTTTCTAGCTCTCTATCTCTCTCCCTTCCTCTCTATAAAAAATCAATAAAATATATTTAAATAAAAATAAATAAATAAATAAATAAATAATTGCTTCAGTTAATTGCTTTTCTTTTAATTATAGGAATGAAGCATTGCTTTGATTCAATTTTGTTTTATTAATCCCTTAGCATGGCTGAAAGCAGTGCCGTGAACTAAACCAATTTATCTAAACTATAACCAAGTGAAAAATTGATTTGACCTAATTTTTTAAGAAATTGACTTCTCATGCATATTGTTTTTGTACTTCATGAATGTATATTAGTCTAAGTAAAGTCAGAGATAGTTTCTAAAATCTGAATATGAAAAATATGCTTAAGAAATTAGTCTGGTAATTTTCCTTGCAGATTTTGATTTGTAGGTTAAGTTTAGGTTAAGGAAAAAAAGGATGAAACAGTTTTTAATTGGTATTTCACTGCTCTTGGGCATGAATTAACAATTTTTGAAGATAATAAATACTAAATCATTTATGATTTATTTTTTTCTCCTCCATTTACTTCTATTTCAAATTTACATTTTTTTATGCATATCACACAGAGTGACTTCTGCAGCTAATGTTCAGGTCTGCTAAAAGTCTCACAAACTCTTACATTAGATCATCTTTCTTAGTCTTTGAGATATGATTTCCCAGGAACACTGTTCTTTTAGCAATTAAGCCTCCCTTACTCTCCCCATCATGGTAATTTAAATGTTTTTAGGGAAATAAAAAAAAAGTATTTTCTCAACACAATAATGTTGGAACTTTTTTTAAACTCACAAATAGTCAGTTCTGGCATGTAGTAGTCTGGTCAGTTTCTCATTTTGATTTATTATAACTTACCATTTCATGTTGTATACATTGTGCATAATTTTTGAAGAACTGAAATATAAAAAAATATGCCTGTTAATTTTACTTCATGTTGCTTATTTTTATGATAAAGTACTTTACAATCTGGCAGAACATCCTATCTAATAAAGAGGGAATATGCTAATTGACCCTTACTCCATCCCAAAAGGTGGTAGTGCCCACAGCCAATAAGGAGGGAATATGGTCATTGACTGCCCCACCCTCATAGATGGTGGTGCCCACAGCCACAAGATGTCAGTGCCCAGTCTCCTCAGCCCCGCCAGCGTGGCAGGCATGCAGTAAGGCTGATGCTGCCCCCAGATGGGCCCAGCCTTGCCACACGCCTGCCTCTGAAGTTCCCCTTTCCCTTCCACCCCCCAGCTGCCCAGGTCTGTCCCGAGGCACAGGCAAGCCTCAGATGGTGGCTGCCCAGCCAACCAGGGCTGCCTGAGGCACAGGTAACTAGGGCCGGCCAAGGCTTGCGCTGCTAGTAGTGGCAGCAGCAGAAATGTGATGGGACATCACCTTCCATCCCTGAAGGCTCCTGGACTGTGAGAGGAGACAGGCTGAGCTGAAGGGACCCCCCCTCCTCCAGTGCATGCATTTTCATGCACTGGGCCTCTAGTCTATATTATAATCAAAGGAGAATTTTAGGGCTGATAGAGATTTCTGGTAACAATTTTATAGTTTTGATTTTTTAAAATTGATTTGGAAGAGAAAGAGGGAGAGAAAAACATTGATGAGAATTATTGATTTGTTGTCCCACATATTTACACATTCACTAGTTGATTCTTTTATGTGCCCTGACTGGCACTTGAACCCTCAATCTTGGCATATCAGGATGATGCTTCAACCAAATGAGCTACCCAGCCAGGGCCCAATATATTTAATT